ATCGGCATCGGCCCTAAAAAATCCATATTGGTCTATCCCTACTCTATAATGTGGCAGATCAGCGTCTGGTGTTTATTTCTTCCTGGACTTTTCACCTACCCATTTTTTTTGTCTCTGTCCTTTTGATAGAAAAATGTCTAATTTCCAGTTTATTTTAATGGTTAATAAGACAGGTCTCTCTGTTGACATGAGTGTGGTGATCTCTGCTGTACCTTTTTCCTCTGCAGACAGTGTGTGTGGAGAAAAATGTCACGCTGGGCGGGACGTGTCTGAATGTCGGCTGCATCCCCTCCAAGGTAATGAACTGGTTTTCTTCCTGATCAAAATGTGTCATCTACAGTTTAAGGAGTGCTTGTCTTCGTGATTCATTCTGTAGTTTAACAACAAAATATCCTGCAAAGCAGATTTAGAAATGATTTCACAAAGCTGCAGAGTTGTATCTGTCAGTTAGAAAGGAGTCGGTCTGTAACTCAGGTGTGATGAGCTAAAAAAACAAAACTATGAACAGGTTTAAACTAATAGTATTGTCTTTAAATTGAATATTTACTTGAACGTAGATGCATAAAACCATAAAACACTTTAACTGTGATATAAAATGATAACTGATATTTTGTGACTGCAGGCTCTGCTGAACAACTCCTACCTGTACCACCTGGCTCACGGCAAGGACTTTGAAAGTAGAGGCATCGAAAGTAAGAAACCCACTCTTGAGTTTTTAACATTCACAAATACAGGGCAGAAAGCAAACCAAATAAAGGGAGATGAGAACAAAAACAAATTAATTTAAAAAAACCAACAACAATATAATAATAATAATAATAATACTGCCACACTGCCAGTTAAAGAAAAATAAGTACGATTATGCTGTATCCCAGGTCGTACTGTGAGCAGGTTGTCCACCAGAGGTGCTGAGGCTGGAAGACTTTTTCTTTATTCCCTAGGTTTTTAAAAAAAAATATTTTCTAAGTCTATTATTTGTTTTGCAATTTATGGGACATTTCTGACCAAGTTGCTTAGTGCCCTTTTCCCCATGTTTTTGAAAGAAATTGCAAAAATATGCTCAAAGGTTGAAATACTTGTGAAAGGCGTCTGAAAGCAGCACAAGAGAAGTCATGTCGCTGCAGGTTTCAAAGGGTTAAATTGATATTAACTTGTTAAGTACGACTTTTTTTGTGTGTGTGTGGCTAAAAACTAACTAATAGAGGAAGCGTTTGCTCAGCACCGTTTGATTTTATGTCCGTGATATGAGGAGTTTCTCCCAGGAAGTTATCGTAAATAAACATTATGATTTAGTCTAAAGCGCTTTACAGACAGAGTGCAAAAGAAACACATCATAGAGGACATTTAAATACAGTTAAAACAGTTATTAATGAGCCAAGAGAAGAGTAAACAAGCTAAAATGGAAGGGCTGTAAAAGACATTGATAAATATTTGATTTTAAAAAGGCAGCGGCAAACAGAAAAGTCTTCAGCCTTGATTTAAAAGCAGACCTGCAGTTGACTGATTGTTTGTTCCAGATTTACGGTGCATAAAAACTCAACACTGCTTCTCTGTTTAGGAATATTTAAACCCTGCTCTGGATGAAAATGCTGATTCAAGTCTGTCTCTCTCAGTTTCAGGCATCTCGTTGAACCTGGAGAAGATGATGGCTCAGAAGAGCGGAGCGGTCAAAGCGCTGACCGGAGGAATCGCACATTTATTCAAACAGAACAAAGTCAGACTTCTTTTTTTCCTCCTCTCTGTTTTTAATTTAATGGGTGTTCACTCTTATTAAGAATCTGAACATCACTCCCTTCAGGTGACCCATGTCAACGGTTTTGGGAGGGTGACTGGTAAGAACCAGGTGACGGCCGTATCAGCAGACGGCAGCGAACAGGTCATCAATACCAAGAACATCCTCCTCGCCACGGGCTCTGAGGTCACACCCTTCCCCGGGATCCAGGTACGGCTGTGTTTGAATCCTTACAGCTCCGCAGGTAATGACAGTGTGACATCATCACATTAATCGGCATTAATTCATTATAATAATGATCTGAAGTGGAATTAGTAAAAATATAAATGTTTTAATGAGGGCTGCCCCCGACTAAGAGTTTTCCTCGTCGACCAGTAGTCGTCATTTACGTCCATCGGTGGACCGTCAGTCCTCATCAGGGTCTATCGGTGGACCGGCAGTCCTCATCAGGGTCCATCGGTGGACCGGCAGTCCTCATCAGGGTCCATCGGTGGACCGGCAGTCCTCATCAGGGTCCATCGGTGGACCGGCAGTCATCATCAGGGTCCATCGGTGGACCGGCAGTCCTCATGTCTCATCCTCGGATGACTACCGCTTGTAAACCATTGGGCTCTTTACCTGTTTACCATCAAGGTGGGAAATTTACACCAGCCACCAGCCAAACGCTGGTACATTCAGGGTCCATCGGTGGACTAACAGTCCTCATCAGGGTCCATCAGTGGACCAGCAGTCCTCATCAGGGTCCATCAGTGGACCAGCAGTCCTCATCAGGGTCCATCAGTGGACCAGCAGTCCTCATCAGGGTCCATCAGTGGACCGACAGTCCTCATCAGGGTCCATCAGTGGACC